CACCCAAAGGAACAGCATGTTAACTTGATCCTCAACAGCAGCGACGATGGCGACAGGAAGGGAGAGGACATGTGGAGACTCGAGAACAAGCAGCAGACAACACTGGAGTAATGAATTGGTAATAGGATGTAAACAAACAACAACCTTAAGCCATCAGTAACAACAACATAGAGTGCCTAAAACATATCCATCTCTGTTGAAAGTGTGTTTGTTCCAGTGTTTCAGATTGAAACAAAGTAGATTAAATGTGGCCTTTCTGATCAACACAAAGTGATTCATCTCAACATGAAAACAGATCTCTAGAAAGTGATCTGAATGAATTCCACACTCAAAAACGAAATACTTGTCGGCATAGGTACTCAAGCCTTTTTAATTGGAAGCATGTAAAGCATCACTGGTTGATTTTAGAAGTCACATGATTGATGATACACAATGATAAGGACATCATTTGTGTGTAGTCGAGGGGTTTCAGTTGACCTAGTATAACTGCTGTATCTGGGGGAAGTCACAACTTTAGCAAAACATTACACCGAAAGACAAAGGAACACTCCAAGCAACTCCACAAGAAGGTGACTGAAAAGTACCGATCGGGGGAAGGATACTAGAAAATGTACAAGTCACATCCTCCCTTGGAGCACAATCAATTATTAAGGAATCAAAAGTGTATGGACATAACAAATGTCAGCCTTATTCTGTGGTCAACACAGAAAGAGGACGCTCACATTCACACAGCCACAAGAGGTCACTTGACAAATTTGAGCAAAATGACCAACTTGATTGTTAATATATAAAGAGTAAGACCTAAATATAAAACTCAGAGGGAAGGGGTGTGTGTGTGTGTGTGTGTGTGTGTGTGTGTGTGTGTGTGTTACCCTCTCAAAGTGGATTCATTGACTTAAGGTGCTTGGTTCACACGCCTACTGGAGAGACGGCAGCTAATACATCTGTCACTAAACGTCCTGTCGCCTACTGCTGATACGCACACAAACATACACACAACCGTGAACAACCACACACTCAGATATACACACGTCCATGACTGATACACAGACATGTCTGACACTATAAAAATGCATGTAGACCAGCTTAACCTGACCGTGCACACAAGCAATATCACACCATCATAATCTCGAACCTCAATCACTGTGAATCCTATTAAGTCTCATTATTGTTGATGGGATTTAGCGTCAAAAGTGTGCGTTTGTGCGCACGCGCGTGTGTGTGTGTGTGTGTGTTCTTGCCTCTACGTCAATCAGTGTCTAATCAGGTGTATTGATTGGTTAATTGCTTGGTTCTGACAGAATGATTCTGTATATCTGAAAGTATCCATATTGATCTGAAGGGAGAGTAAGACGGTGAAAGTGCTTAGGGAAGGAAAAGGGGGGGGGGGGGCGATACAGAGTAGAAGAGAAATAGAACAGCCACAGGGAGTGAAGTTTTTTTTACTCAAGCTTCACATTGTATTTAGAGTTTTATCTCCTTTGTGCAGCATATATTTCCTCCCTGACACAAGAGACTCTCTCAAACTTTGGTTCCTACCCTCCTTTCCTCTGTAACCAAGGACAGATGAGGAGCATCACTACGGTTACCATATCCATGACAACCTCTCCCGCTGCTATTATTGGGCATGTCGTCAAGGAAACAGAGCGCCACATTATGGGATGCGGACAGAAATAGAAATCATGTACTGGAAGCGATGCAACAGATCTCTGGTATTACATAAGACAGACCTGTGCAAATCTAGTGAGGGGTGCCATATCGATGTGAACACTCAATCACACTTAGGGTCAGTGGGCAAATATAAAGAGCACTATCAGGGTACTGATGCACCAGTTTTGGGCTTATACCCCATAAAAAAAAAAATCTAACTTTGTATAAGCCTGTAGTTTATTTGAAGCAGGGAATATTTAAACGCCTCCCGTGGCTCGGACTCACATTGCGTTTAATGAGGGTTACCTCACAGTTTGTTTGCCGTGGAATGCAGAGGCAACAACACTGTAAGAAATAACTCAGAACAGTTTGAAGACAACGCTCACACAAGTGGCTGGGTTCCCTATTGGTAAGACAATGAGGTCACATTCTTCCCAAATGTGCATGAGGAGTCAGTTGGTCTGTTAGAGTGTGGTTAAGCCAAACAGTCACTGTAGACAACTCTGGATAAACACATCATCTAAATGACTTAAACATTATAATGAGATTCACCAGACACTTAAAGGCAAATTAACCAATGGGATGTAAGATGGATTCGGGTAGTTTGGGGTTTATGTCTTGCAAACATAATACAAGAACTGAATAAGGTCAATAGTCAAAGTGAATACAACACAAAGTTAACTTACACAAGTTTAGGTGGCTAAACAGAAAGGAAATGTACAAATAAACACAAACACACACAGATACATGGTTCAACCATGTATTTAAGCCTCTAGTCCATCTGCACACTGCTTCCTGTCTGTCAGAAGGTTATAAAACTAATTGACCACAGCTGTGGTGGTGGTGAGTCGGTTGAGAGAGTGTGTGTGTGTGTGTGTGTGTGTGTCTGTCTGTGTCCGCATGTACATGTGTGTTGCATCTTTTCATTACCTAGGGGGGGTCACCAGTAGGGTCCAAAATAATCCTGCAAGGATAGAATACCTGAAAATATGCTAGGCAAAATTTTTACTATGTGTGTGTGTGTGTGTGTGTGTGTGTGCTTAGCAATGCTTCCTGCTGTATGCAGTTTCAAAAACAGTGGCATTCAAATTCTCCTCATGGTGTTGACGGATATCAAGAGACAGTAGACTTACTGTTATCCAGTCTAGACTGTCCACTGAAGACATAAATAAATTACACACTTAACAGTACTTTTCTTAAATGTAATGCTCTAACTCACTTATATTGCATGGTTACTATCACTTGATCTGTAAAGCCTCACAGGGAAAGTAATGTTGGCCTCCTAAAGAATTCAGAGAGAGATAAAGAGAGGCAGAGAGAGTGGGTGACGGACACAAATGAAGAAGATGAAAGCAGCTGCCATCTCTCAGTCATATTTACTCTTCTACTGACTCATACCTGCTCTGACACTAAATCATTCAAGGAGAAATCAGAGGGTATGTACACAGTAAAGCAAATTAAAGCAAATGTTATTTCCTACTCGTCTACAGTCCAAAGTAACTTTATGAAAAGTCAATATGAAGAAAAACAATGTCCCTCATAGTCCTTTGGCGTAATCATGTTTTGGCGGTTGCCATCTTGTTTTTTTGCAACCAGAAGTGACATAAGAGGGTGGTAGTACAACGGAACGCAGCGATAAGGCGACCACACAGTAATTCACTTTCATGAACTGAAAACACACGGTGATAGGGTTCATTTGCAAAACGAAAACACAGACAACGCCCAGACCGGACAGCGTGGTGGTAGCGACCTGTCCATCACAAAGGTAGCCCCGCCCTAAAGCATACCCTGCTTTATGGTCTATTTGACTCTAAATGGGACCATAGTTTGCTAAATGAACATCATGCTGTATTGAAGAAGACTTGAAGCTAAAGATTGAGACCATAAACTCATGTTTACAATGTTTACTGAGGGAATAAATCAAGAGAGAAGTAGAGTCATTTTCTCATAGACTTCTATACGATCAGACTTATTTTTGCAACCAGAGGAGTCGCCCCTAGCTGGATATTAGAAACAAAGCAAGTTTCAGGCTCTTCCACATTGGCTACTTTTTTCAGAAGCAGAGGTTAACAACATGATCCACGTGATCCATGTGATCCACGTGATCCATGTGATCCACGTGATCCATGCGATCCATGTGATCCACAGGCACAACAGGCAATCTGAAAACCATAGCACAGCATGAGCTATCCAAGTAAATGTGGCTCAATCATTCTTAGAAAGAAGGAGAGACGGAGAGACAGATGTTACATGGCTTCAGAGGGATTAGTGTCCTCCTCACACTAATACACCCTCAAACATCTGCAAGCTAAAACACACATATACGTAATCATATTGATTTAAAGCCCTGTGATCGACCGGGGATCTGTCCAGCGTGCCCCCCCGCCTCTCGCCCAATGTTAGCTGGGACTGGTTTATCTACAATAAGTGGGTATAGCTTATAGATGGATGGACACACACACACACACACACACACACACACACACACACACACACACA